AAAAAAAAAAAAAACAGTGGCAAAGGGTTTAGAACAGTGTCTTTCCAAACTGTAGGACTCCCTTAGTGGCTTATGAAATCACTTTAGTAGGTCAAATCAGCCTTTTTAAAAAAGTAAAAACAGATTACAATGGAAAATACTATGTGCATTGCATGTTGTAAAGATGAATATTGTTCTATAAAACTTGTTTTAAGTATGTACACATTTTTTTTTTTTTTGGAGAGATTTTCGCTATAGGGCGCGTGTGCTCGCCAGATAGATAGAGACATAGAGACAGAAAGCGAGAAATCACCCCCCGGGGGGATGGTCATGCCGCAATCCCTTCTCCTCCATTCTCCTCTCGGGATCTTGGGCACACACGCACATGTGCCCGGCGTGAGTTTTAAGCCACCGGGTCCGGGACGCGAACCGTGGTCGACTACATGGGACTCCAGCGACATAGCCATTACGCTAATTGCTGGTTCCCGAGTATGTACACATTTTGTATCATGACTTAGTACTACCTGAATTATGACAGAAGATGAATATGCATGTATACATGTAGATATAAAATGTACTTTGCAGGCTAGCCCTGTGGTCTAGTGACCAAAGGAGCTGGATCTCACAAGGCTGACAGTACAGTTCAAATCCTAGTCCTGGTAGCTTGAAAAACAAGCCAGGTACATGTGCATATATGCCCACATTCCCAGAAGGATGGAAATGGAGGAGAGGAAATTGTAGCCAGACCATGCCCCACTGTGGGGGGTGGGGTAGGAGAGGGATGCTTTCCCCTTTCCCTGTTTCTGCTTCCCTCTGGGGAAAGCACGTGTCCTCTGACAAAAACAAACACAAACAAAATACGACAAAAATCAAAAAAACTTCTCATTGTGAGTCACGATAAAAACAACTTGAGCGAGGGGCCAGCGGGTGGCGTGGTGGTTGGGGGCGCTGGATTCCTACATGGCTGACTGCTGTAGTTTGAGTCCTGGACCTGACGGCTTGGTTTCTCACTTTCCCTTTCTCTCTCTGGCCAAATTAAAACAATAATAACAAATGCAATTAAATAAATAAATAATTATTTTAAAAAATAAGGAGTGACTGGCCTAGACCTAGAGCATAATATGCCTTCTATTTATCTTCTTGCCTTAAGTCAGTGAGGCTCAAAGCAAGGTAAATGCAAATAGACTGCCCATTTCAGCAGGGCTTTAAGCAACAGCAGCGATAATGATAACCACAACAATGAAAGTGGCAATTAAGACCAATTAAACTCCAACTATGAGCTAATTACAAAGTTATATGTTTATATATATTATTTTATTTATCCTTAATAACTATCCTAAAGCTAGGTCCTAATTATTTTCATTTTGTAAGTGAGAACACTGAGAATTAAGAAGATTCCTATTTGCTTACTATTACACAGTAAGTAGTGCGGCTACTGTTTGAATTAGAATGAAACTAAATACTTAATGTATAGTGACCTGAGCAACCACAAGACCCTGGACCTGCCCAGCAGGAACTGGCTAAGGGAATTACTTCTAGGAGGAAATGGTGCAGTTCATTCCCCTGTGGGAATGCACTATTGTTTGCAGCATCAGTTTTCCATAAGCACTGCTGTTATTATTACCTCCAGTCTCTCTAGACAAAAAGACAGGAGAGAAGGAATGCATGTTTAGGTTGGATGTAGCGATGGGGCACCTTATTTAGCAGTGTGACCTGATGCCTGACCCAGGTCAGCACGTGAGGTATAAGATGTTCAGTAAATGCTGCACTGAAATGGTGCAGTACTAAGCTAATTCTAATCCCAGTTAAAGGCTATTTGCTGTATGACCTTGACAAAGTCACTTAGCCTCTCCAGGCCTCATAAAAACCTATCCTGGAGGTTATCTCAAAGATAAAATAATAGAAATAGAGAAACTTAAAAGGCTATAAAATGTGCATGATGAAAAATCAAAAAGTTTCCTCAATGTGGCTATTCCTTGAATCAACTCTTCTTTAGTATTTAAGCGGTGGTACCAATTCTCTCATGGCATTTTTCTATTCAACAAAGTACTTTATCCGAGTTGTGTATATATGCTTTCCCCATGGGAGCTCAAAAGCTTTTTAACTTAAGTGAAAAACAATGTGATCTTTTCACATCTTCATTTTTTCTTAAGTGATTCTGGTGTAAAAAAAGGATGTATTCCTGACTTAGGATTCACTAACATGTATGCTGAATGTAAAGTGATCACCTTGAATGAAAAAATGGTGATGGTCAGAGCAGGAAAGGAACACAGTGAAAATAATCTCAGAAGAAAACCAAAAACTAAGACTGTATAACAATGAGAGGAATGAAAAAATAGTGAAAACAGAAGAGAAATAGAAGGTGGCTAAGAGGAAGTTAAAGATTAAGAGGCTCTTCCTGTACTGGGTAAACCAGGAACTTCTGAAGTGGTAGTTAGCTCTCTGGAAGAATAAGGAGACCCTGTACTTGCAGGTGGACACGAGGGAATGAACTACTTGCAGAGTCTGGCACTGTCTACACTTTGTCTTGCCCTGCCCAACCTCAATGCCTATTTGCCTGTCATGTTCATGGAACTGGCTTGACCCAGTCCATTCCTACTATTTAATGTAAAGAGGAATGACATTAGCAGAAGAGACATGGTATCTCTTCTAATTAATCACTGGGAGTTTGGAAGATCTGGGAGGCTTAGAGAGTGGAGAGTTAAGAGATGGAGTGAAAGGATGAGATAATCCATTTCTGGATCATCCGAGGCAGGATGATGGGTACCTGATTAGGAGCAAATAATTGTCATAAGTAAACACTGAATTCAGGGTTATTTTCACCAGAAAATACATGGGAAGGGTGTCATAAATAACAGGCTCAGATGTGAACAGAATGGGTCATCAATTAAACTAGAGATTTTAACCTAACAAGGGAAACATGGGCTTCCAGGTACATCTGAGACTAGCAAAGAATAAACTCATTACAAGAATGTGACCACTAGTGGAGATTACCATGATTCTGAGGCCATCACAAAACAAGAGAGAAGAATGTAGATGAGGTGGATTGGTGAAAATCTGTGGGCCTTCGGTATCAGCGTAAGGGACAATTTTGTAGCTAAATTTGTATGACAGGCCAGGCCATATGGTCAGACAGAAGGTCAGGTAACATGTTCTTGATAAGGTTTACATAGATGAACCACAAGAGCAGGGTGTGGGATGGGAGGACTTCAGTTGATTGCTAGACACCAACAGGAAGTTTCATTCTCCTAGAAGCTGAATGGAAAACCGACTGATTTGCCTTGCTGACAATATAAACTTCAAGATGGTAAATGAAGCAATAAGGGGAACTGCTACCTGTATCTGAAACTTTAAGACCACGGTATTTCAAAAAGTCAGAAAAATGTTACAGATGACTGTTAAGAGTTGAAATGTGTCTCCTAAAATTCATATGTTGAGTTCTTAACCCCACTACTTCAGAATGTGATATTATTTAGCAATAGGGTCATTGTATAGTATATCCCTAATTCACTATGACTGGTGTTTACAAATGGGGAATTTTGGAGACAAATGCATAGGGAGAATGTCTGTAAAAATAGACAAAGTACTAGGTGATGCTGCTATAAACCAAAGAATGACAAAGACTGCCAGCAAACCCCCAAAAGCCAGAAGAGAGGCATGATACCTCTAGTCCTAAGAAGGAACCAACTCTGCTGATATCTTGATCTTGGGCTTTTAGCCTCTAGTACTGTGAGACAATAGTTGTTTAAACCACTCAATTTGTGGCATTTTGTTAAGGTAGACGTAGAAAACTAATGCAATGTCCTCCAAGCCTGACACATTAATTGGAAAGATGACTCAAGGAAGTTGAAAGCTCTTAACGAAATCCTGCAACTGCAGAAAAGTTCTGATAAAGTAGGGGGAGAAAATTAAAAAAGGATCCAAAGAACCAATTTGGATACCAGGAAATGTGCATGGCTTTCAAAAGGGAAAAGGATGAATTTTGGGCAATAGAACCTTTAATATTGATTCTGAATCAAATTCTAGAGCGGATTAGTAGTGATTACTTAGGAAAAAGCAGTGATTCCTTTAAGTCATGTTAAAATGCCCATAAAATGATAACTGTATCACCAAAGTGTGATACAGTTAACAGTTCGAAAGATTAACAAATAATTGGATTAAAAAGATTCACAGAGATTTAAAAATATGGGCAAGCTGAGTTTTAGTAGTAAGACTCATAACCAATATAGATTAACAGATTGATTTCTTTAGAGCACCTTACATTATTTTGCTGCAGATCTTTGTCCTTATTTCTGGCTTGCTCAATACTTTTTTAAACAATGAATCACATGGGAACAGTGATCAAATCTATGGATAACAAGGGGCTTGCAAAAGCAGCTTATACAAACATTTGTGAACAGCGTTAGAATCCAGAGGTCTAATGCAACAATAGTACACATCTAGAAAATAGACAAGAACATGAAATTTGTAGTTAGTATATGCAGATCCAGAAAGCAACCTTCAAGCCCATTAAGAATAGCGCATGTGAAGCAGACAGGTCTTTCAAATGAGAGTAATCTCTATGTAGGTTAACCTAACGATGGGACTCTCCCCTCAGCTAAATGGAATCCTAGGCTACATGAACACATAGAGTGCTGGGCTCAATTCTGTGGAAAGTCCACAGAGTGATAAGGATGGGGAATGGATTATAACCACTTGAATGGGAATAATTAGAGTTAAGTAAAGTTTTTAGACAGAAAATACAACAGTTTTTCAAGGTGAAGCACTTTATGTGGACAATGAGACTTAGTTTTTAACTGTAGAGGGCAGAGCTAGGGTCAATATACATGGTTATAGATATTTTGATCAATGTGAGAAAAAACTTTAAAAAAGTAGTTTTATTTACGATCATCATCATCATCATTATTATTTAAATTTGATGAGAGAGAGAGGAAGAGAAAGACAAACATGAGAAAGCAAACCACCAGGTTCAGGATTTGAACTATGGTCAGCCATGTTGGAGTTCAGTACCTTAACCACTATGCCACCTGCCGGCCCCAAAGAACTTTCTAACAAAGAGACTTGCTTACAAATACAAGGGTCTGTTTTTGAGAAGAGATGGATTTCTCATGACTAATGTAGTCTGAGCAGAAGCAAGATCACCTACTTGGTATGTTTTCAAGAGGATACAGCATTAAATAGGAATGAGAAGAGTCTAGGATTCTATGACTCCATTGTGAAGCAAACAGATTTACAATCAAAATACCTGGTCTGGAATTTCCTCTGCAGAGTAAAAGAATCTCAGAATTTTCTACAGACAAAACTGGACTACTTTTTGGAGGTTAAAAAAGCTAATACTTAGCCTTTTTTCATTTCCTCAAGGCAGCAGCTACAGTCCAGAGGGAAAAAGAGAGAAACTTCAGTATCATGCTATTTTATCCTCCAACTAGAATTTCTGAGTACAGGAGTGAAAATAACAGGCTTTGGAGGCAGTCTTAGGTCTGACATCACTCCCCCTGGCTGTTTGTACTCCTGTGATCTTTCCTTCTCTCCTGCAAACCCGCAGCACCATCGAGTAGGCCAGGACTGACTGGCTGTCTAGACGTAGTCCCCTCACCTTCTAATGCTCTCAAATCCTCCAGTACGTAACATATCGGCGACTGTTTTACCTCTTGTCCCATGAGGCTAAACTCATCTACCATCAGGTTAGTAATAAATTTGATAATTCATTTAGAAAGAGTAAGAGCAATTTGAACCATAATTAATTGATTTGAAATATCTGTAATTTTGAAATTTCTGCTTTTAAGCTTGTTATCAGTGCTCAGTTATAAAATCAATCTTACTAACCTCCTCGAGCAAAGCTATTGGATGGGTTTACATCCAAATGTCCTGGCACTACCTGCTTAAGCACAGTGGACACTCTTGAAGTCCTCCTTTCAGTCCCTAAAGTCAGCCAAAAAGAAGAACAAAAACCATGTCGTTCGGGTTAACATTACTCAAATGACAAAACGTTATCTTCATGTGTAGCAAGTCTAATTGCTGCCAAACATTGTACTGGTTAAGTACCCAAAGTTTTATTAGAGATAACAAGGCAATGTTATTATTTCATCAGAGATAACACACATTTGCAAGGTTATAGAGTTAGGTTTGGCAAGTGCAATCAGAGAATTTAATGATAAATGAAGCAAAGCATGCATGGTGTTACTTTACAAGAAAAGCCACTTTCTGCTTATGCTGAGCTAATCCAAATAGCTTATGAAGCCAAAGAGACCAACTTCTCAAGTCACATGCTCCTGTGTCTAACACATTAGGGTTACCTCTACATGAACCCTTTGGGGTTCCATCACATGATAACTGAAACAGAATATTAGTACAAGTCTTAATGGCTTCATCCGAATCTAGTGAAAACAAACTGTACTGCAAATCATAAAAGCTGCAGAAACTCAGGGAATTTCAAACTTATACATGGTCATTTTAATAAATACACATTTAATAAACTGATGTTTGACTTACACATTCGACTTCATAATGATAAAGTCTACGTAATTAAAGTCTATGTAAAACAGATTCTGGGAAACAAGCGGGTGACTTTACGCCTCTCCTACTACTGTTTTAGAAAGGAATTATTGGTTTGTGAGAAAGGTCATAATGTATTTTTTCTATGCAAAAACATATCATGACTTTTCTAAAAACCCAATAATTGAATCTCTAAATTTGGGGACTATATTTACTAGATGTTAATTGTGGCATTCTATTTCTCAGTAAAAGGAACTAAAGTTATATCCTGAAGGATAGTACTTTTAAGGGCTCATGTTTAAATAATGTATAAATAATTAAAGAGATCAACCCTAGGAATGGGTCTGACCTTTTACTATAGTTGTCGAGAAGAAAAGTATTATCAAATCTTACCTGGAGACAAAGCAAGTGCTGGCCTGACAGTCAGGGTGTTGTTACCTCTGAGTTTCTGATGGACAGAAACCGCATTCAGTAAGGCTTGCAAGTACTTCTCTTGTTCAATGCTACTGGAAGATTCTAAAGAGGAGGTAGGAGCTATCAAAGGAAAAGATATTTAATAAAACAAACTGTCTCTATGTTAGTAAAACAAGTGTGTATATATTAACATCTATTTGCTTATTTTTCTCTATGCAGTCTTTAAGTTACCACACCCAAATATAAAAACCATCCCTGGTTAAAGCCCCAATCTATTAAAATGGTTAATCCTCCTATGACACTAGTTTCACCACACCTACTTCTCGATTGCCTCATCATCCCCTCAGCAAGAACCCAGGTCTAGACAACCAGCACAGGGCTCTCGTTCCAAGCACAGGTGTAGTTTCTCGGTATCTAGCAACTCAATGAAGAGTCACAGATGACTCCATCTCCTGGATGACCTCTCCCAGCCATCCTGCCTTTGCTACTATTCTACAGCAGAGGCTGCAGTAGGTTCCTCTGGCATCTTAGAATGGGTAGAGGTGAGACTTTCCCAATAACAATAACTTAATTCCAATTCTGTCACACAGTTCTAACAGGGGACATGAGCTTGTGGGCATTTGTGGTGAAGAGTGCAGCAAGATGGGGAGAAGGTAAGAACAATTACCATATACCCTGGTTCTTCTGAAAAAGGGGCAAAAAGAATGCATAGATGGAAATAATTGCGAGAGCAATTCCGGGTAGGAGGCAATATGAGGGTGGTTTTGGGGAGCAAAACAGAATCACTGAAACTGGCCAAGGCATTTTAAAGGGGCATTGGGGATGAATTCTACAAATATTCATAAGCTTTCTTGCAACCTGAACAGAAAATAATTAGCATTATTTTATAAACTTAAGATGTCATCAATTATGATACACCATTATTTTATGAATCATGAATTAAAAGCTCTATTTATGGCCCTATTCTTATCACATCAATTGTAAGATGCACCCTGACTTCAAGGATATTAAAATGTCAGCAAATATATGAGTTCAAAATATAAAATACAGTGAATTTCTATTAGGGTCAAAAATTAGGAGCTGGAGGAGTAAGTGTCAATGTTTTGCTAGGTAAAAGCTTAGCGATATGCCCATCTATGCTCCTGAAATGAATCACTCACTTTATGTAACCTACACATGCTTGTGTTCTGCTATCCCCTCTATGTGGCTTGGGTGAGTTCCTAAGAGCAGAGACAGTTAAAAGTCGTTTGTTTTCAGTCACACCTATGCTGAGATTACCAGCCAGGTAGAACAATACAGCATTGTGTCTGTTACCTTCAGTCAACTGAATGATCAAAGAAACAGGGGCTAACTTTCAGGAGGGAAATGGATAAGGATAAAGAGTCCTCCAAAACACATGATTCTATCTGCTGAACACAGTTCACCTCATTTTCAAAGGGGGAAACAAGGCAGTTATCCCTAAATTTGATCTGGTGTGTGGCCTATTGCTTAGATTTACTGAATATCTATTGTGAGCTAAAAGCCATGAGAAAGGTCAGCAAAACATATAATATAGCTCCTGAAGTTAAGACCTCAGACATAGTACTCATCATGACATCCTCAGAAAAAGTGACTGCAGTTTTATTACTTCCCTAGTTTCTCAAAAACTTCTTTGCTTGAGAGCTCGTAAAGCAGTATTCTGGTCACTAGTTTGCTGCCGTGTGTGATCTGTAAGAACGAGACAGGTTTTCTCCTATCACATGGGACAGAATCCCTATGTGCCTCTGAAATTTGGTAAACATGTATGGCTGTATCTGGAGGAAAGGAAAAATACGAGTGTAACCTAGTTTCCATCTGCAGATAATTGACTTGCTAGAATGAAAATAGCCTAGAAGTAAATACTTGACTAATTTCTATAAAAGTTCAAGTACAGACCAAACATACTAAGTAAGGTTAAATTCAAGGGGAAGCTGCACACAGCCAGGCGGTTCTTGTTTAAGCTGCATGTGCTGTATGTAACGGAGTGGAAGAGTTTACGTGGGAGAGAAGGCTTGATGAAAGGGTGCAACTGGCTTTCCCCATTTTACTTCCTTTGGTTTTAGGAATATGCTCAGGTTTAAGAGTTGTATCTCTGCTACAGAGAGATGCTTACCAGCCTGAGGGGAGTTTTGAGATTTGAAAAGACCAACGACTCCTTTCCCATGGAATCCTCCAGATCGGAGGAGCAGAGTACCACTTCTTGAGTTTTTCCAACATACAACAGGTAGGCGATTGTGTCGATAGCAGCGGGCCACTCTTGGTAAACTACTGTCCTGTACAGCTTGAGGTACGACTAAAAGGCCAGGATAGCTTCAGACATGGAAGAGAAAAAGGGAATGATTGAGGGAGAGAGTTGGAGGAGAGACAAGGAGAAAAATGGTGGAAGAAAGAATAAAACCTTATTATCACAGTAATTTTATAAGACTCAAACATAAAAAAAAAAGACTCAAACATATCAGTGGTGGGGTAAGGCATGTATTTCAGATATGGAATTAATTTCAACTCTTTAATTCTTCAGGAGCTGAAAAAGCCTAGCTGGTGACAACAGCTAATTTATTCACTATTATACCCTTTTTCTGAAATGAACTCCTTTCAATGATATTGCAGACTTTTTCTGAATAATCCAAGAAAATAAAATACTATGCAAATTAAGACCAGCCTCTGTGGCACAGGTGGTAGACCATCAGACTGTGGAACTGGAAGCCACATGGTGACTGTGGTTTAAGTCCCCTTCTTGGTGGGCCTGAAAACATGCTGAGTTGTATACATGTGCTCAGGATCCTGGCAGGTGTAGGAAGGGGAGCACGGCGTGACCGAGGCCTATGGAGGGTGCTTCCTTCTCTTGTGTGCACTCTTTCATGAATAAAACAAATATATCAATGTTATGTAGAAGTACTTAGCAGGCCTCTGTTGAACTGTGTATTTCTGTTGCCTTACACATACTATTATAACTTGAAATAAAGACTGTAAAATTAGTGGATTAGGGCCAGCAGGTGGTTGGTGGTTAAGGTGCTGGATCCTATATGGCCAACTCTGTAGCCTGAGTCCCAGACCGGGTGGCTTGAAAAGAAAACTGGGCATATGTGCAAGCCCCAATGGAGGAGAAGGGACTGTGGCATGGCCATATCCCTTGGGGTTGATTTCTCACTTCTCTCTCTATTTCT